ACTTTCGGACATAGTTAGTTAACTATAAGAAACAGTTAAATGAAATGCATCCGGTGCTTGCGTTTTTTTTTAAATTTCGAATAAATTAACAGAATAGTTCTGCTTCTTGTTTGTTTGTAGCGACCAGTTGTATTGTAAAAAATTTATAAACTTTGGTTTCTAACAAACGAATTCAAAAGAAACAAGACTGCTCGTATGAGGGCGAAACCCTGAATGTTCCGACTGCCTTCTAAGCTTTATGGAGCAGTAATAACATGAAAAAAATTAAATGTAATAAAAATAGAATAAAATTTTTTTTTCTAAAATTTGAAAATTTTTAATGAAATTCATCCCCCCACACGCCATATAAAGTACAAAATCATAGATTTGGCTCCTAATAACAAATTAATTATGGCAATTAAGCTTCCTTCAAAAAATTTGGTACGAGTTTTAATACAGATTAAATCTCCGCTTACGCGTTAATAGGGCGAAATATATCGCGCGTTATTTGTCCCAAATTTAACAAAATGGCAATCATTAAACCCCTATAACTTATTGAAAAATTATCACAGGTAAAATATCTTTTCAAATTTAAGCTCAAGACAACAATACCTTTTGAATGATATAAAAAATTTCCGTCAAAAATGGCTAGTTAAAAAGTCGAAATTTGTCTGAAGAAAAAAAAACCCACCCCGAGCACAAATATTCCGTTACTTTCGTATCGAAAGTCGGAACAATAAAATATATAAATTTTTATTGTATGTTTCAAATTCGAGCAAGTTAAGCGATGGAGTAACGTTCGTTGTATGTTTTTTTTGTAAGAGCCTTTTGGGCTCACAAATGGAAATTTCGTTTAGCGGTTATTTGGCAATCTAAAAGTCCATAAAAATTTTAGAATTATTGTGCAAAAAAAGACAATTAAAATTTTCAGAAAAGCGTTCAATTGTTTTTGTTTGTCATTCATTTTCAAACATTATCAATTACGCCTGATTCGCCGAGTTTTTGGATTTTTTTTGGTATAACTGCACCACACACTATTTCGGTGCTAATTGCTCAGCAATCGGATATTATTTTATGGTTTTGAAAATTGAAGAAAAAATTTTATATCTGGATTTCCTAAAGAGAATCACCAAGCCAATTTCTCGTCAGCATGAGAAAAAAATGAACACGAAAAAAACACAAATCAAGTGGAACAATTTGGAACGCCTAGAAAACGCTTTCTAAATTAATTTAATATTACAAAAAACTGATAAGGTACTATCAGAAAACTGCGACTAAAATTAAGTGTTTTGACAGTGATCGAGTTTTCTAGCAAAGACCAAAAGCTAAAAAAGCACACTTTTGACACACCAAAGTAGACTCATTTCTGGAGTGAGCAAAAAAGCAGCGAATGTTGAAAAACTCCAAGAAATTTTGAAAAATCTGTTCTAGAAACCAGGAAAGAACCATAGAGTTCGCTTACTCAGGAGGTAAGTTCATTCTTGGAATAAAAAACAGGGGACTAAATAGACAGGGGTATTATAATTGTTCCAAATGAAAAGGAAATTTTGATATAGACTTTTGCCAAGCAAAAACAACTCAACTAAATCAGTTTCTGCAAATTTAACAAGAATAGAATAGCAAGCAGCAGATTGTTCTGGCCAGATTCATACACACAAAAAAAGTTTTTTTTAAAAAAAAGTTTTCTTCAACATAGTGTCGTTTTTAGTGGGTATGTGATACAATAACTAAATGATCGAGCATAAATTAGTTAATTATGCATGATTGACAACATTTATTGATCATGCCTAACTTTAATTGTTATTCAAAAAATTGAATTAAAATCCCAAAATATTTTTCTGCAAAATAAATTTACATTTCTAAACTTGAAAATCAAGAAAAAAACTTTCAATTAAAGATGCGTTAATTAATAAAGGTATATGCTTGAAACTAGAAAAAATTTCAAAAATTTCATACAGTTTTTTAGACACAAAATCAATTTTAATTTTTTTTTAAATGCTTCGAATCCCGACTGAAAGTGCTTTAATATGATATATCACTCGAACCATTCCGTAGATTACTTGTGATAAATCATTTTGCATGGAAAAAAAGAACAAAAATTAAAACACCCGAAAAAAACTCCTCCCCGTTTTTAATTGTCAGAAAGAACAATAAAAGCAAAAAAAGTTATAGGACGCCTTTTACTTCGGATATTGACCCTCTCATGGCCCAAAGAGTTTTCTTTATGATGCTGTTTAGTGAGTTATTTTTTATGTTGGACCAAAACTCAATGGAATTTTGTACACACGCTTTCATGTCAATACGCGCACAAATTTGAGGGGCATTTTTTTTCTAGCAGAAAAAATCTTGCATAAAACTTCTTAGTTAACAAATCATGTCTGGAAAAAATAAATTTACAAACAATCAACTAAATAAAATGAACTGCACGTAGCATTAATTGTCGAATCAATTATTAATTAATTTAATAATGAAAATCAATTGGGGGAGTTATTTTCTGGATCCTCCGAGTGAACTGTCAAATGAAAAAAAAATTGTTTCTGTAAAAGAATTTATTTCTTTTGGTCAAATCTTCTTGCCAGATAAGACCAGTTTATATTCTGGAGTAATTGAGATCCACGTTTTAATGCAGCCTCCTGCCGGTGATTCTTTTTTGTTGTTGTTTGATCATTACTGGGGTCCTAAATTTAGTATTCTTTTGTTTCTATGCGCCTTAAATGCTCCGTAGACAAAAGTTTCTTTTGTTTTAGTAAATAAAACAAAAATTACAGAACACTGATTTTCGTTATCAACAGTTCTGCTGAAGATATTTGCTTGTTATTAGAAAATAACGTGCTCTTTCAAATTTTCTATATAAAAAGCGGACTTTCAATCCCTAATTCTTTTTTCAAGAAAACTCTTGTATATTTGCTTGATTTTGAATTCTATTTTTCTGATATTTATGTTAAATTGAGTCTATATAATTTTCACAGTTATATGAAAGATAATCTATTTTATCTGAATTGAAAAAAAATTAAATTTTTTGTAAGCATCGACAACGAATAGCAGTTTTTTAGTGCGTTCTTGCGGCGATTCTTCAGATTCGTGGTTCATCATCAGACTGATGTCATCTGCAAATTGAGTAGTTCGATTTTTGCTATTTAAAATTGCAGGAACATCATTAACATATAGGATGGAAAGTTTTTGTGCAAGAATTGTGCTTTGGGCATTTTTTCAGAAAGTTTTCTAGATTGACTCTAGCCCTTTTTGGGGATCCCATAATATCAAATTTTTATTATAGAGCGCCAACAAACAAATAATCTATCAAAAATTATTTTAGGCACTTTTTAACAAAAGTTTGCCTCTGTGGTACAGAAATTTGTCGTTAAATACATTTCGTTACGGTGGTGCTTAAAATTTTTTAGTTAACTTCTCACCGCCCCCTAGTACGACAAAAATTTATCGGATTATCTTAACTTACAAAAGCGGTCATTTTGAATCTCCCTACTGGTGACTTTCTTTCTAACTTACAAAAGCGGATATGATATGCACGGTAGCCGTTAAACTGAAAGCTTGTTTTTCTCAGTTAACGATGTTTTAGAATCAATATATCACATTGCTTTTTACGTTGTTGGAAGGGAGACATAAAGAGAGCCGGAAAAACGACAAAATTCAAAGTCTCACCAACAAACAAAACAGGCGAAAAAAGTTATGTCACGTGTCTTGTTTTGAGTTAAAATAGCCATTTGAGTTTTTTCAGGTGTACCATTTTGCTGAGCAAACTATGCTATCGACTGCAAATCTGCCGAGGACTGTTTTCGGAGAATGGAGATATTCCAAAAGTTCGGACTACTGTTGCCATCTTCGAGATCCAGTTTTTGGATTCATGTCTGTGAAGGAACTGTACTTGAAGAATCAGAACTCACTGGGCGTTGAGCAAATGACGTCATTTTTTTGCTTGAAACTGAACAAGACTGCTCGTATCAGGGCGAAGCCCTGAATGTTCCGACTGCCGTTTAAGTTTTATGAAGTAGCAGTTTTATGAAGTAGCAAAAAATTAAATGAACTAAAATAAAATGAAAATTTTTTTCTAAAATTTGAAATTTTTTATAAAAATCATCCCCCAACACGCCATATAAAGTACAAAAAGCTAGATTTCTTTCCTTGTAACAAATCAATTATGGCAAATAAGCTTCGTTCAACCAATTTGGAACGATTTATAAGACGGATTAAATCTCCGCTTACGCGTTAATAGCGCGAATTATATCGCGCGCTAATTGTCCCAAATTGGTCAAAATGGCCAAAATGGCACTCTTTAAACCCTCATAACTTTACAAAAAATAATCACAGGTGAAACATCTTTTCAAATTTAAGCTCAGGACAACAATACCTTTTGAATGATATAAAAAAATTCCGTCAAAAATGGCCAGATAAAAAGTCGAAATTTGTCTGAAGAAAAAAAAAAACCCACCCCGAGCACAAATATTACGTTACTTTCGTATCGAAAGTCGGAACAATAATAAAACTTGGATAACCTCAATTACTTAGCTATGCATTCTAAAAATCATTCGCTTTATTGAATTTTTAATTGTTCATTTGTGAAGTCTAGTTTTATTCAGTTTTTTTCCGTATTTAATTCAACTTTCAATCAAAGTTCAATGCGTTATAAGCATTTTACATCATCCATGATTTATTGCTGTTTCATCGCTAAAAAATGTATAATTTTTCCAGCGCTAAATAAGCGATAATTCATCGATAAAAAATTGATAGATTTTCCAGCGCTAAATTAGCGATAATCCATCGATAAAATTTGCTATTGTGGCAATGAACATTGATAATTCATCAATGGCAATCGCTGTTTTTTTTTCACTTTTTTATCGCTAATTTTCAATGTGAGCTCAACCCGGGTCCGAAAAAGAGTGTTTTCTCAAAAAGTGGCAATAATTGAATTGTTCAGCAAATGGCCTTTCTTGTTCAATTCCACTTTGTTTATATTCTACTTTGTTTAAACTCCCAAGGAAATCATTAAAGCGAAGTAAGCCTTCAACATTAAGTGGCAAACATTGTCATTGCTAATAAATAGTTTATCTTCAATACCTTCAATTGAGAAAGAACTGATTGTTTCAGCTCATCAGAAATGTCAGCGGCAATTCTATATTTCACCTTTTTTGCAGGTAAATGTTATTCAAAATCATATGGCGACTCATTGTTGAAAGCTGGTGAGAACGTGGATTCTATGAAAAACTGAAGGTTTCTGTACTTACTTTTTTCCGCTCCCTGTTAACGAGTTTCCTTTTGTCTAAAAAGCAAATTAGCACTGGAGCTTTCTGTTAAGAGTTCTAACTTTGCTGCATTCTGATTGGTCGAAATATCGACTGATTAAATCTACTAAACAGTTTCCCTTTTCTTTGGGGCGGGGGTGGTTGGGGAATTTGTTAAATAGATTTTTATTGGCCTTTTAGAAAAATCATTTTGATATGGCAACCCCGTAATATGAAAAAAGCCTTCAAACAGACCCTTAAACTTTTCAGTTTTAATTATGAACTCGGAAGCAAATAATGGTCTATTTGATAACAGTCCCAAAATGCCCTACAACATTCGAGTAATTTTTTAAGAATTAAATCTTTTGAGCCATGCAGGAAAACTTTTAATCTTTATTGGCGCACTGAATCCATCTCTACTCGAATTTATGTTGCAGTGGTCTTTAATGTTGCCTTCTCCTTCTTGTACAGAGAAGAACCAGAAACTGCCTGGGAATCTCTTGTATTCGTTCTGCCAAACGAACATCTGGCACGTGGAGGCAGATGCAAAACGCACAGGTTAGCATAGCTATAACATTCCTTTCAGTTAATTTTATTATTTATTATCATTATCCAGAATGGAGAGGTGTGTTCTGACACTTTCATCGCAATTTGGCATCCAAATGTGGCCTAGGCATTTTTTGGTGAAGGTGTTTATCTGAGGTATTTATCCAAATATTGCTCAAAAATTTTGAACAAAAAACCTCTAAATCAGATTACAAAAAAAAAGAAGTTTGAGCCGAGAAATCGAAAAGCTATGAGTGGGCCGGGTAAAATTTTTCGAAAATTTTGTCGACCTTTGTTTTTTTAGGCCGACCAAATTGATTTTCCGTGTCCTCCCAGAACACTATAAAGACCCTATTTTGACAAAAAAAATTGCACCGCAGACACCAGCGCATTTAGGAGAGGGGGCGGGGGGGGGGCGGACGTTCCCCCTCAGGGATTCGACCCCCTTCCAACCCAAAGGGTCCCCCCTTTGGTACTTTTGAAGAAACCCATTTTCGGCCGATCGACCCCAAAAAAAATTTTCTAAAGGCGCCTTTGGCGCCAATATATACTAACTTTGAAGGGGGAGTGCGCGCCAAAAAAACGCGATTTTTTTGTCAAACTTTTCCAAAAACTGCCCAAAAATGGCTTTTTTGACCTGTTTTTTCAAAATTTTGCCTGCGGCGTAGAAAATTTGGCCTAAACAGTGTCTTTTTACTGCTTTTGGAGAGCTCCGAAAATCAAGGTGGTCGACCTAAAAAAAAAAGTCGACAAAATTTTCGAAAATTTTTTGGAAATCCGCCCCACCCCTCGAGAAAATCCTAGATCCGCCCTTGGCCGCAGACAAATTTTGAAAAAAGTTTTTTTTTCAGCGAGCGCTCCCTTTTAAAACTAGTTTATATTTAGTACTAAATAGTTTTGAACAAATTTTAGTGTTGGTCGGCCTAAAATGGATGTCATTAAATTTTAGCAAAGGGGGTAAAATATCAGTCCTTTGATTTGCGAGGAGCATCCCTAAGTGCGAGGGCTCTCGCCTCCCCCCTCCCCCCAAAAAAATCCGTCCCTGCTAACAGTTAGCATTAATGTAAGACATATTATTGTACTATTGACAGAACATTTTTTGTTTGTGTTTTAGCCAGTTCTACTGTCTGGACAAGTACATCACAGAGAACAGTTATGAAATGGTGGAGTTGAACGAAGTGATCAGAGACGACAGAGCCGCACAGTTTACAGAGCTCATCAACCACCAGTGGAGACGCATAAACATGGTCGACACCATGATAGACCCCAGTTAGCCACAATAAGTCCACGAGAATCATCACTTCATATTAAAGATCATTTGTGAAAAATAAGGGAGATTTTTGGTCAAAAAGAAAAAACCGATTATTGCAAAAAACTTGATCGTTTCAACCGGTAAAACAAAAGTACACGGTAAAACAAAAGGGGGTTGGATTTGAAAGAATTTGACGAAGCTTTCTAAGAAGGGATTTTTTACTTTGAAAACATCCCCAACACGCTATTCAAAGTCGAATTAATTTGGAACGACTTCTCAGCTGGATCAAATAGTCACATACCCGTCAATAGCACGTTGTAAATCGCGCGTTATTTATTGCAAAACGGTCAATTATACATTTTTCAAAATTTCCTAACTTAGCGGAAACTGATCACCGATAAAATATTGTTGTTCCGACTTTTCGTAACGAAAGTAACGGAATATTTGTGCTCGGGGTGTTTTTTTCTTCGACAAATTTTGACTTTTTAACTAGCTATTTTTGAGAGAATTTTTTTATATCATTCAAAAAGTATTGTTGTCTTGAGCCTAAATTTGAAAAGATATTTTACCTGTGATAATTTTTCATAAAGTTATAGGGGTTTAATGATTGCCATTTTGTTAAATTTGGGACAAATAAAGCGCGATTTATTTCGCGCTATTAATGCGGAAGCGGAGATTTAATCTGTATTAGAACTCGTACCAAATTTCTTGAAGGAAGCTTATTTGCCATAATTGATATGTTAATAGGAGCCAAATCTATCATTTTGTACTCTACGTGGCGTGTGGGGGGATGATTTTGACAAAGAGTCTCAATGTTTAAATATACATACATATATTTCAACTTATTTTATTGCATTTAATTTTTTCATGTGATTACTGCTCAGACCTCAGACCTTAAGACGCAGTCGGAACATTCAGGAGCAGTCCTGTTAGAAATTTAAACTCAAGACATCCATAGTTTCCGATGAAGCTTGAATGTCAAATATCCCAGCTACTTAAAAAGAAATTGTACTTGAGTAAAACCACCCCAACACATCTATTCCGTAACTTTTTCAAAAGCCAGAAGAATAACGGAAAGATAATGATTTGAATTTGCAAGCCAAGCTGTCGTTTCATATCCACAACATCTCGATCACGTTTTGATATTTAACAAAACTTCAAGCTTCCAGATTTTTTCAACCCAAAAGATATGTCCTCAAAA